CTTATTCTACTGAACCATCTCCACGGTCCCTCAAGTTTATTTTTTTATACCAAGTAATACTCTATTGTGTAAAAATACCATACCTTCTTTATCCATTCCTCAGTTGATGGGCATTTGGGTTGTTTCCAAGATTTAGTGATGATAAATAGTGCTGCTACAAGCATGGGTATATGTATATCGCTGTGGTATAATGATTTCAGTTCATTTGGAAAAATATCTAGGAGGGAAATAGCTAGCTTGAATGGGACCTCCAAGCCTAGCTTTCTGAGGAATCTCCACACAGATTTCCATAATGATTGCACCAACCTGCACTTACACCAAAAGTGGAGAAGGGTTCTTTTTTCCCAATAACCTCATCAGCATTTGTTATTTGACTTCTTGACGATGGCCATTCTTTCTGGTCGAGATGGTATCTCAACATTGTTTTAATTTGCATCTCTTGAATGACCACTGAATATATTTTCATATTTTTATTTGCCATTTGGATTTCTTCATTTATGAAGTATATATTCATCTCAGATGCCCATTTCTGGATTGGGTCTTTGGATTTTGAAGGCCTGATTGTTTTTAATTCTTTATATGTTCTAGATAGAAATTCTTTTCAGAGGGACAGTTGACTATAACTTTTTCTCAATTTTTGGATTTTCTTTTTATTTTGTTGGGGTTTTTTTTCCATACAAGGGATTAAACTCAGCACCTTGTGTTTGTCAGGCAGGCACTTATTCTACTGAGCTATCTGATGTACAGAAACTTTTCAAAAAGATGGGATCCAATTGTTGATTCTTTGAAGTATTTCCAGTGCATTTTTTTTTTTTTTGGTGGAACTGGGGATTGAACTCAGGCCCTTGTGCTTGCCAGGGAAGCGCTTATTCCACTGAGCCATCTCCCTGGCCCCTGCAGTTTGGTTTTTGTTCATGAACTCTCTTTCTATTCCTATGTCTTTAAGATTTCTACTTTGTCTTTCAGAAGATTTAGTGTTTCAGTTTTAATATTTAAATCTCAAATACTTGCCAGAACTCAACAGTGTTGCTTGCCTTTGCCTGTATCATACTTGTAGCCCATTGAGCTCCTTGCATTTCTAGAATAATATTTTCCACCAAATTTAGGAAGCTTTCAACAATTACTTCTTTCATTTCTTTGCTCTCATTATTCTTCTGGTACGTCTTTTAAATATATGTTACTACAAAGGTGTGTCACATTCTTCTTCAAGACTATGCTTATGTGCCTTCACTAACTTTCCCACTGTTCTTTGAATACATAATTTGTGCATGCTATCAACTTTACGTATTCATTTCTGTGTAGTCCTTAGACTAAAATCAGTGTCTTTAAAATGTTACATAAACACTCTATGAGTGAGACACATCCCTAAATCTTTTTATTTTTATTTTGAGACAAAGTCTTGCTGAGTTTCCCAGGATGTCCTTAAATTTATGATACGATTGCCTCCACCTCCTGAGTAGCTGGTGCCACATATATAAACCATCATACCTGGTTTAAGGATATTTGTTCTCTCTTCAAGTTGAAACCTACTATTAGTTCCTTGTGGTGAATATTTCATTTTTCTAATTGTACCTCTTAATTATTTATTTTCAGTCTAATTTACTTTCTAAAAGGTAATTTCCATTTATTTATTGATATTATCTACTCAATGAAGTCTATCACCACACTTTCCTTATTTGAATATGATTTATTCAGGTTTTTAAAAGACTACTATTGCTGTTTGAAATCTTTGTTATCAGATGTCCTGGCCCTTCCATGGCAATTTTTGTAGCACATGCATGTCTTTTTCTTTGTATGGATTTCACATTCTTGTTTCTCTGCATGCCTTTTAGGTTTTGCTTGTTAAAAGGAAGATTTTAGATTTTGTATAGCTGCAACTCTGTTCTATTTTTTTTGAGACAGGATGTCAGTGTGTAGTGCAAGGCAGCTTTTATCCTGACATTGCCCTGACTCAATCTCCCAGGTGTAGGAAATACAGGTGTGCAACACAACACCCACCTGATATAGCAACACTTGATACCAATTCCTCACCAACCCTTGCTGTGCTTATTCTTTATGTTGCTTTATTTGTTCAGTGATTGGATGGAATATTACATTAAAGTCTATTTGCCTCATGTGAGACTCTTCCACTGTTTGCTCAGATGGGCAGTTTACAATCACGCTAAGACAATAAAGTTTTCAGTAGTCTTTGACTTCCTCCCTCGTGGTGTTTTTGTTGTTTGTCTCTCCTTGTATTCCACCAAACTTCCAGTAACTGCAGGCTAGCAGCTCTGCCATTTTCAGTAATACTTGGGTAAAATTTCTCCATTTGCTTTTCCAAATTCAGCTTCTTCTAGCTCCAAACATCTTCATGACATGGAAGTCAATCTCATTTGAAATTTTAGGTGATTTCATCTCAAAGTTCTTCCAGAAAAACATATCTCAATGAATTAATATCTTTTCTTATCAAAAAAGAGGGTAGGTTCCCACAAAACGTGTGTGTTAGGTTTTTTTTTTAAAGCCATGTAATGCAGCAGTAGAACATTATCTTTATCCAGGTAGGGAATTACAAGATCTGGTCATCATATTAATTCACAAGATCTTCCAGCAAGATCTGGCTTATGGCCTTTCAGGATTTCAAAGGATGTCTTCTTTCAGTTCTGTCTCAGCTCTGGGGATAGCACTTGATCCTTTTGTCTATAGTTTTTATATTCTTTTGATCTCTTTTGTTCCTTATTTCCCAGTTCTTTTTGTCCAATACTGTATAGTTCATAACTCCTTCATACTTAATGTTTCCTTCTGTATTACAGGAGCTGTGTGCTGGCCAAAGACCATATGTTGTGGAAACCTCTCAAGTTAGGACCTAGGACCAAAAGGTAGAAACTTTCGCTGCTGCAATATATCTCCAGTCCTCTTCACTGACAAATCTTTAGTGCCAACAGATAAAGGAAATTATGGAGACTTCCAATTTTAATTTCACAGAGTGGGAAATAACTGTATATTTGGAAATTAGAAATATTAAAGTCGTAAGTGGCCAAACTTTTATTGCTCACCCATAGCAGAAATGTTGAAGTGTACTGATACATTGATGCATGGAATAGTGTGTAAGATTGAGTGATAATGAACTTGTGTGCACAGCATGAGAGAATCGCATAAACAGCATTGAATGAAAGAATCCAGGCAGAAAGAATGCTCACTGTATCATTCCATTATGTAAAATTTAAAAACCAGCAAAATGAGTCTTGGTTGTTAGATGAAGGAGACCCATGCCCTTTGGTGGATGTGTGATAGACGTGGTGATTGTGATGTATAGAAAAGGATATCAGAGATGTGCTATGCCGTGATTTGTGGCAGGTTTCTTGAGTTTGTTTTGTGAAAATTCCTCAAGCTAAACCTTACAGCTTATGTTGTACTTTTACAGAAGTACATGTGTACACAGTTGTATTAATTTAAATAGATAAAAATCTACATAAAATGACAAATTATTTGCATAACCATATTTTGGTACTGAGGTAAGAGACTAGGGCAACATAGCTGGAGCAATTAAGCACAGCCTGCCAACTGAGGAGACTTGTTCATCATGAGTAAAGAGTGGCAAGTCTTGAGCCTGTCACAAGGTCAAGCTGGGGCCTTAACCTGGTACCAATTTTCTGACATGAGAACATGCCAAATCTGGCACCTGATGCCAGTTTTCTAGCATGAGATCAAGTGGGGCCACCTGGACTTAATGCTAAGAAAAAGAAAAGGATAACAGTGACCTTTGCATGACTGACCTCTTGTTTTTCAGTGGCTCCTTGTACTTGCAGGACACATCTCCTGTTTGTCCTTTCTTAAAAAATATGTATTTGGTACAGGGTCTCACTATGCAGCTCTGACTCATAGTGATCCTCTTGTTTTCAGCATCCCCAGTGCTGGGATTACAGGTGTACACTACCATGCCCAATCTTGGTGGCTGGCTCAGCACACCTAGGGACAGGGTGGGACTCTCTAGTCCCTGTGCTTGCCCTAGCAGGTACTTAGTCCACTGAGCTATCTCACCAGTTCTTCTTGTTTGTCCTTCAAAGCACTCTTTTCTTCTTAAGCACCACATTTGGGTTTCCTTCCCTTTTCATTTTCTTCTTCTTATATTTGCTCTAAATAAATGTTAGGCTTTCACATTCACCAATTGTTGCAACCCATTCATCAAACAAGACAAGAAGAGCCTGAAAAGTACCAATAGGCCCCACAACACCCCTAAAACATCACTGTTGTTCACATTTGCCCACAAGTGCAGGTATCATAAATGTCCATTGTTGGATGAATGGTTAAGGCAAATATGGCTAGGTGTCTTGCCTAGTGATAGAGTAATGTCTAGCATGGAGAAAGCATTCCATCCTCCATGCCTGGGTTTTCTTTTCCTCTCCTCCTTATGGATGCAGAGGTCAGGGATGTGGTCAAGGCCACAAAATGAGCAACTGGACAAGGTAGCACATTACTGAAGGTGGACTGGGGTCTTTGTCAATCCTCTTACCCACTTGGGTACTCTCTCTGCTGCTCCTCTGTGCCCTTCACTGGAGTACAACATTAGATTTTAAAAGGTAGTCAACTAAGGGTTTTTGGATTAGAGGTGCTTGAGCCAGTAACCAGATTCTATTGCAGGGTGACACTCTTGCCTCCTGTTTTAGAGTTAAAGGTTGACAATATGGTCACCCAGTTACCCATATGACACTTTTTCCTCAGAGCCCCAGGAGGTGAAATGCCTTTTGAGACCAAGCCTTGCTGATCTGTTTGAAGACCAAATTATCCCTATGTGACATCCAAAATTACCTCTGGTGGGAAAGATGGGCTTTCCTGGCCCCTGAAAGGCCTAGTTACAATGATTCTCCAGCTATCACTGGCCAGCTGATGTCTAAGAAGTCATGTCAGGCCACTGGGTCAGGCAAGGCACAGAATGCGTGGGTGGAGACAAAGCTCATATAACCAGCCATATCCTCTTCACACACGATCACAGGCTGGATCTTAGAAGCATTTAGCCTCGTACAATGGCTGTCTTGTTCCTGCTGCTGCTACTAAGCCTACTGATCTTTCACCTAGGACTCGGTATCTGGGTCATTTTTAAGCATTTCCTCACCATAGATGTTCCCTCTGCCTTGGAAAGTCCTGTGAAGATGAGATTCCTGCATTGTATGTTCTTATATGTGGCCACTTTGGTGAGTTTACTCTCCGGCCCCATGGTCAGTTGCGGGTGCTGTCTCTGTACCTTTCTCTTCAGTCTTTAATTTCCCTTCTCTTTTCAGATTCCCTCAAGACAGACTTTGCCAAACTCAGTGTCTGCTTTTTCATTTCTCTCTGTCTTTTCATCTTTATGTCCTTGTCTCTCTCCCTCTCTTTTCTTTCCTTTCTTCCCTTCATTTACTCCCTCCATTTTCCCTTTTTTCTCTTCCATGCTTTCTTTGCTACAACTCTTCCTCCTTTTCTTACTATATTCTTTCCTTTATTTCTTCTTTTTCTTTTTTAATATATTTTCCTCTTCTTGTTCGCTTTTATCCTTTCTCTTTCCTCATTATTCCTCCTCTCCTCCATTTTTTCCTTTGCTCTTCCTTCTATTCTTTCTTTTATTATTCTCATTTTTGCCCTTTCTTCATTGTCTAATCCTCAATTCTTGCTCTCCTTTCATTTATGTTATACCTTTCTTTTTTTCTGTTACACCTTTCTACTTGTATTTCTTCTTTGAGTTCTTATTCTAGGGAGACTATAAGATATTACAAATACGGGTCTGGTTGATTTTACTTATGAGTATATCTTCAAGTGGCATCCACTGAAATATAAATGCTTCAAGTTTATCATTCTTTATAGCTGAATAATACTCCATTGTAGGAAAATACATCTTTTTCACCCATTCCTCAGGTGATGGGCATCTTGGTTGTTTCCAGATTTGGCTATCACAAATTTTGCTGCCATAAACATGGGTACACATATATCACTATGATATAATGTTTTCACTTCCTCTAGGAAAATTCCCAGTAGAGGGATAGCTGGCTCGAACAGGATTTCCTGTCCTA